ACTGAGGAAACCTTTTTCTTTCTTTTCTTTTCCATTTTTTTTAAAAAAGAAAATCTTTTTGAAAGGATTTGCCGCCCATTATTAAAAGAATTACCCTACTCCAGAAGACATCTCTTATAAATACAAGAAGGAGTGAACAGGGCAACACACAATGAATCTTACAACAAAATTTCATCATTCAACCAAACAAAGGTCCTACACAGGTAAACATTCACGTAAACAAGCTCAGAGTCGACCAACAAGTCCACTTGAATTTCAAGTGAAAAACCAGTCCCAGATCAGAATGCCCAGAATCCAGACTTAGGAAGCAAGTCATCCAAAACGAGATTTCTCTCGTTACAAATTTGGTTCAGCAAAAACCAACACAAGCAGAGTCTGAGCCTCCTCCAAGCATGGAAAACCCCAGCCAAATTCACGGAATAGCCTCTAGCTCACCAACGTCCTCAAGAACAGCCACTTCTGCCCTTTCAGACTGAAGAAACCGCAGTTCTGCCTACTCGGAAGCTTCGCAAAAGCTTGAGGTACATTAAAGCTCTGCCAGAATCAACCTTTGGCATCGATTTGCAGTTGAAAATCGGGCAATCAGAGTTGTCTACGATCCAGTCCAGCCCAGACATGTCCAGTCCAGCCCATCACAGAGCCTCCCATCCAGGCAGAAATGGAGATCTAGCCATCTCTTTATTTTTTTTGCATCGACCTGTATTTTTGTAGTCTTGTAAAAGGTACTTCCGCCCAAAAACAGCTTAAATTTCATCAACTATTCTGGCCAGAACAACCTCTTTATACTGAGATAAATTGTTAAAGTCCTCACCAGTCTGAGGCAAGAAAAGAACTTACTTGGGAGATATTCCTCACCCAAATTCACAATCGTTTGTTTGCAGAAATCAGTAACTTGGGGCGCAAGTTATCCATTCCAAACTAAGTCTGCTAGAATTTTTATTACTAGCAGTGGCACGCTCGCACACCAAAGAAAGCTGACTTGTTGACCAGTCTATGGTTCTCAAGGCAGTGGGGAACTTTGCCCTTCCATCACAGGAGTAAACGCAAAACGGGCACATAATTTTTTTTGGGTTTTTTTTTTCTTATTTATTCAAATACTATTGTCAATGATATTTCAACCAAACTTTATCTCTGTCTACTACAAACACATACACTTACACATAAAGAACAAAAAAGTTTATAGACACGTGTCAAATTTTAAAAAGGAAATGCTCGTTATATGTAAGGAACTAAGTATTTTCCTTTAATTTTATATATAGAAATCCTTTAAAACATTAAAGTCTAATTATTCTTCAAACTTAAGTTAAGTCCTATACTCAGCAAAATCATTTTAAAACTTTAAAAGAATATCAGATAAATTTTGGGGAAAAAAAAACCAACTCTATCAGTATGTTTTTTAAATAATAAAAAATAAAAAGCACCATTTTGACCTTTAAAAGTAAAAATAAAAATGAAAAAGCCCCATAATGCTTTGCGGACAAATAAAGTTGGAGCCTTTCACTGCATCAAGTGCTACTGTAGTAGTGCTGTGGCTTTGTTGGGTTTTTCCAATTTCTTTTCATCCAAACGCCCTCTCTCTCTCTCTCTCTCTCTCTCTCTCTCTCTCGGATCCTAGGCTTGTAGAGTGGAAAGAAGGCAAGTCTCTCAAGTCTTAAACATCGTTCGTTTAGTGTGATATTACTCGGTGTTATGGGCACTTTTTATTTTTATTTTTTGGGTTCTGATTTATGGGTTTTATTTGGAATTGTTGTCACTTTAGAATGAAGAACAAAAAGGAGGAGGAAGATGTTGTGTCTGGGACATTCACATGGGTCATCGACAACTTCTCCAAGCTCAAGACCGACAAACATTACTCTGACGTTTTCACCATCGGTGGCTTCAAATGGTACGTTTTATTTTATGTTGCCATTCCTAGAAGACCCATTTGTTCTTTTTTTTTTTTTTTTTTTGGGATCTGAGAAAAAACCCATCTTCAAAAATGGCATTTTGAAGCTCAAATCGTAAAAGGAAAGTTTTGATGTAGCTAATGCTTTCATTCAACCATGGCTGTTTAAGTAACAAGCTCAAGTTTCAAACTTGGCCCATAATTTCTGTTTTTGAGATTTTTACTGGGTTTGGTTGGTTTTTTATCAGGCGGATCCTTATACGTCCAAAGGGATCACACGACCCTGAATCTGATGTCGTAGACCAGTTGTCCACGTATTTGGGTGTTGCAGATGCTTCAACACTGACACCGGGGTGGGCTAGATATACACACTTTAGCTTCACCCTGGTTAATCAACTTGACAGCAGCAAGTCAAAAATAAAGCAGACACAGGGTATCTCTTTGCTCTTCATGTTCTCTGTTTTCTTGTCATTTATAATTTTTTGTTTTGTTTTTTTTAAATTTATGTAACTTTGTCATCAAACAATATTCTCTTGATCTTTGTTTTTACCTGATTAATTACCTGGTGATGGGCTCTGCATTCTTAACTATGGCTTTTGTGTTCCTTGATATTTTTCTTTGACAGGCATTGCGAAAGAGTTCAAAGAAGAAAGGAGGGAGTGGGGCTACAAATCATTCATGCCTCTTTGCGAGCTTTATGACTGCAGTGCAGGTTATCTGGTGAATGATATATGTATTATTGAAGCCAAGGTTGAGGTCTTTGTTAACATTGGAGAGCAAGGAAGTAATGTTTATGGAACTTTGGAGTCCACAAAGAAAGAACGTAAAGGGCAGGAATCTTCAAACATGACTTCTGTGCAAGCTGCAGACTCTTCACCAGCACCTAAGACACCATCTTTTGAACGGAAGCCTCCTTTCCTGGGTACACCTAGTTCTGAAAAAGTTTGCAATGAGCTGACCGGTGAGCTTATGGAATTTATGGGTTTAGGAAAAATAGAGAAAGCTTTTGTTCCACTGCTAGAGGAAGTTTGTTCGTTGCATCCTTCGTTGATCGAGTGTCTACATAAGAGAAATCGTAAAGTTAGTGAATGTGCATTCACAGCTTTGGGGGAACTCTTGCATTTTCTGAAGACTACAAGGGTGAAGGATATGACTGAGGACGCCTGCGTGCGCCTTCAAAGTTTATGGGAGGATGTTGAGATGTTCAGGTTTGACTTGGCGTGGCTGGAGCCTCATGTTCACTCTGCTTTGGATAAGAAGAAGTTCCTGGAAAGGGCAAGGAGAGTGAAAAGACTGAGAGAAGATGTGGATATTTTGGATAGTGAGAAGAAGAGGCGGAGTACTGCTCTAGCTGTTACAGAGGCAGATCTTGAGGTGGCAAAGAGAGACTTGGCCAAGGAGGAAGAGGGCTTTGTGGAGACAGATATGGATAGAGAGCTAGGTTACGGGATGCCTTCGCCTTAATATAGAATTTTATGTTAGATATGACTTGTAGGACAGGTAAATGAGATAGACATGGATAGTGAGCTAAGTTATGGGAACCGTTAGCCTTATTTAGAATTTCATCTTAGATATGAGTTGCAGGACAGATACGGGCAACACATATTTGAACTTGTATGACATAGGTTAGTTAGCCCCCATCAATTCCCTGGTATGATCGATTAGGCAGGATTGCGGAGTTAATGGGTACCATGCCTTTGTTCAAGTTATGGACTTGAATTTGCTTTTGTCAAAATCGCATAGTTTGTGACATATATAGTCTCCATCTATTGAGGGACATGTTGTGTGGTCCATTCAACGAGTTAAGAGCCGTCTACTTTTGAAGTTTTCATTAATAGGCCTTTCTTACAAAAAAAATAGATAATTTGTAAACCATTAAGGCATCTAGTTGGGTCCAACTGTTATCAAAATTATAGTTTTCTTTTTTCGTAAAATCCAAAAACAACCCTTTATAATATAAATAATATATAAAACAAATTGGAAAGTCTTTTAAGGTAAAGTAAAATTAAATAAACAAATAATAGGTAAATAAAAGTAATATAAATTAAGGTTATGGAAGCAAGCCTGGTATGGCGAAGCACGTCAAAGACTTTAAGACGTTGTCCTAAAGCTTTTGTAGCCTCCATACGTATATGCACAGATGGTCTACATGACTCCAGGAGACAGAACCCTAATTGTGATTGTCTTCTTTGCCAAACCACATCAGAAGGAAAAGCACATCAGTAAGGAGAAAGCAACCACATAGAGAACCACACCAAGGAATCAGTGATGGCGTCAAACACTGCCTCTCGTCACAACACCAAAATCGCGCCACGCGGGATCCAAAGCCAGACCCCAACCCATGCAAGGTGCTGGAGACGATAAACTGAAGAAGAGGGATGACGGAGAAGACTGGAAAGAAGCGAGACGACGCAAACCCTAGGTTTTTTGTACGGCTCTCCTCGCATTTGAGAGAGCGACCTTTGGTTATAATTTAATTATAAACAAGGCATGGAAATACAACATATTTTTGATTCATAGATAATGTACATAATAGGCTCTATGTGATGATAACGCTGCACGATTTTATGATATCCTTACTCCACAAAATTTTGTTAGTTTCTCTATATTTTAGAATATCAATTAAAGTCAATGAGGTGTTGCCCAGTTTAAAAGGGTATTGACTTGCAAACTGATGATATCAAGTTTGAACTCTTATGGGAAAACCTCATTCCCTTGTAGTTATTATAATTTAACCTTAGAAAAAAAAATCAAGTATTTTTTTTGTTCAAAAGAAAAAATCAATTAAAACCTTAGAATCACTTTAAAAATGAACTTATTATAATTTAACCTTATTGCCCAAAGCAAATTATGTCTTAACGCAAAAGTGTCAGCTTGTATTACAAGACCCATAACCAATAGGAAAACCCTTATGACAAACAATGCTAACATTTCCTTTAGAATCCCTTACGACAAAACTGGCAGCTGTTTGTCTATTATTCTTAACAAAACATTTTTTTTACTCCTTATTATAATTGAGGACACATATCATTGATATTATTAAAATACCAAAATTGCCCACAATATCTATTAATATTTTAAACAAAATTCAAGGTGCTACACAGAAAAAAGTTTTCTTTATCTTTTTTTCTATTTTTGATGGCATAGACAGAAAGTTAATTTCAAAGCTAAATTTGAGAGTTAAAATTCAGGTGAAAAATGAGGGAACTTCTAAAAATGTAATTTGGCCTAAACAGACCCCATGTGGCAAAGCACAGGACAGTTTTAAGTTAGACCCAGGAACAGAGGCAGAGACAGGAACTGCGGCAGTGCGCTCTCTCTCTCTCTCTCTCCCTGAAAGTCTCGAACGGAGAAATACCCAGTTATCAAAGGAACAGGCAAAGAGGTAAGAATGGTTTCTTGCTTCTGGTTTTCCTACCCAAATGTTCATGCATGTAGAAGCTGCTGCTTGATTTTGATTTTTCTAACTAATATTTCAACTTTGGCCAAAGACCGATTTGTTTACCATGTTTCTAGATCTGATTATATTTGGATTTCAGCTTGAGTTTTGCTTTCCTGTTCAAATTATGAATCTTTTCAGTGATGTGTAGCGTCGTTTGCAATCTTGTCTTGCAGAGAAAAATGTTTAGAGGGAGAAATTTTCTTTCTCTGAAAAAAACGAATTTGGGATTTAGATAACCATCAGAAGCATCCAGAAGTTGAAGAAAGAGAAATTAAGAACAGAAATAGTGGGTTTTGTTGGGTTTGTTGTGTTGCTTTGTAGACAAAAGGGTTTGTAATGGAAGGAGGGTCAAGCCACAATTTCGTTCCTCCTTCAGCTGGTTTTGATAAGTCAAGGGTTTTGGATGTTAAACCTCTGCGTAGTTTGATGCCTGTCTTTCCAGCTGCGTCTCAAGCCCCTCCCTTTCCATGCATGCCTCCCTTCGGCCAAACCCCTAATGGATATTCTCCATTTTACCCATTTCAACCACAAGGCTCTCAAACCTCGCCTAATCTCAATAGTCCTTCCCCAATGAGGACACCAACGGGTCCCATGCCTGCTCCAATTCGGTCATATAGAGCCCCCGCGCCATCTGGGGCACTGCCCCATGACTTTCCGGAGGAGTCTAATGGAGAAAGAGGGTCATCAATGGGTGGGGCAGAAGATGACGATGGGTATTTTGATGCTCATCTAGGTTCTAGTTCATCAAGAAAGAAGAGCACGAAGGCTAGTTCATCTCGAAAGAAGAAAAATAAAAGTGGAGACGGCGATTCATTAACAAACAATGGGTCGGGAGTGAACTTTGTTTCGGTTATGAGTCCGTTTCAAGTTGAAGATGGTAATAGGGAGTTGGTTAACTATGTACTTATGAATTTTGATGCACTGCGGAGAAGGATCTGCCAAATTGAAGATGCCAAGGAATCTAAAAATGGGATTATTAAGCGTGCAGATTTGAAAGCTGGTAACATTTTGATGACCAAAAAGGTTCGAACGAACATGAGAAGGAGAATTGGGGTTGTGCCTGGAGTTGAGATTGGCGACGTTTTCTATTTCCGAATGGAAATGTGTGCAGTGGGATTGCATGCTCCGTCAATGGCTGGAATTGACTACATGACTGGGAAGGGTGATGCTGAAAAAGATCCAGTGGCCTTAAGCATTGTCTCTTCAGGAGGGTATGATGATGACACAGAGGACAGCAATGTCTTGATATATAGTGGCCAGGGTGGGAATAATAACAACAAAGACAAGCAGGTGGCTGATCAGAAGCTTGAAAGGGGTAATCTTGCTCTTGAGAGAAGCTTGAATCATGGCAATGAAGTACGAGTTATTCGGGGTGTGAGAGATGAGGTTAATTCAACAACAAAGGTCTATGTCTATGATGGCCTATATAAAGTCCATGAGTCATGGACAGAGAGGGGGAAATCTGGTTGCAATATATTCAAGTACAAGTTAGTGAGGGTGCCTGGGCAGCCTGGTGCTTTTGCAGTTTGGCAAACTATTCGTAAGTGGAAGGATGGTTTTTCGTCAAGGGCTGGACTTGTTCTTCAAGATCTCACTTCAGGGACTGAATCTATACCTGTTTCCCTTGTAAATGAGGTTGATAACGAGAAGGCGCTGGCTTCTTTCACTTATTTTCCTAAACTCAAATATTCTAAATCTTTCACTTTAATGCCGCCTTCTTTTGGCTGCAATTGCCATAATGCATGCCTCCCAGGTGATATGAATTGCTCTTGCATTCAGAAAAATGGAGGTTCTTTTCCTTATACTGGCAATGGGATCCTAGTCAGCCGAAAGCAATTGTTACATGAATGTGGTCCTACATGTCCTTGCTCTCCCAACTGCAAAAACCGAGTATCCCAAACTGGTGTAAAATTGCGCTTGGAAGTGTTTAAGACAAAGGATAGGGGCTGGGGCCTCCGGTCGTGGGATTCTATTAGGGCTGGCTCTTTTATTTGTGAGTATGCTGGTGAAGTTATTGATGAAGTGAAGTTAAAGCAGAAAGGGCATGCAGGTGAAGACGATGAATATATTTTTGATACAGGCCGTAATTATGACTCATTTAAGTGGAATTATGAACCAGGACTACTAGAAGAGGAGACTTCTAATGACATAAATGAGGATTACAACATCCCATATCGCCTAATCATAAGTGCCAAGAATGTTGGAAATGTATCACGGTTCATTAATCACAGTTGCTCACCAAATGTTTTTTGGCAACCGGTTCTATATGAACACAACAATCAGTCCTCTCTTCATATTGCTTTTTTTGCCATCAGACACATTCCACCTATGACAGAGTTGACATATGATTATGGCAATTCAAGCTCTAGTGAAGCTGACAATGACAATGGACCCCATCGGAAAAATAAATGCTTATGTGGATCATCAAAATGCCGGGGTTACTTTGGTTGATTGTGTAGGTTCTAAAACAGACAGCTATGGTGCCAAGAAACAGAGTCCTGGCTAGTAAGTTTGGAACGTCATCATGTTTAAATGTTTTGAACTTAGCGTAACTGTGACTTTGTTGTTGTTTATATTTCAATGTGGGGTCGATGGTTTAGGTTCCAGAAACAGGCAATCATGGTGCAGACAAACATGATCCTGGTTGAAAAGTTTGGAATCTCCCTCATGTTTATATGTTTTTGAACTTTTATGTTGTTTATCTTTCATTTTTAGTGAGACATGCTTGCATAGCTTACTTTTCCTTCTATGAAATTGCATAGTTTACTTTCCCTTATATGGGTTATTTTTCCTATATAAAATCTCTCTGCATGCAAACTCATGAAACCCAGCCATCTGGGATTGATGTGTTAGAAGGGCTTATTCTAAGGATTCAAGAAACATTTTGTTAGCAATCTTCTTAAATGCATAGGATACGGAAAGTAATTGTCCCAGACTTTTGGTACGTAAACTGTCGATAGAAATTCTAGTCCGGAGGCTTTTACTTGTTGAGCATCCTTGAACACTTAAAGAAACAGTGTTTTGCCATTCACTGTTTAAATGTTTAATAAATAATGGATCATTTTGAAAGATAGAAAGGGCATTAGAGGGAATTCCTATGTGGTGAAGAAGGTTTCCATAAAATAGCTTACGCGCGCCTTCAGAGAGAGGCTTGGTAAATATATATTACAAGGGTTTCTGGGGTTTGTACTGCAAGTAAAGTGTGAAAGGTGATGCCATAAATGGCAAAGAGTGGTTGGTTTTGAAGGAAACAAGTTGCCATACCAAATTGTTGAGACCAAAAGGTAAACACC